CGCGCGCGCCTCATTGGAGCCGAAAAGTTCGAGAAAAAGAAAAAAAGTCCTCAAAGTGTCCAAGATGGAGGCCGGAGGGAGTCACGGCTCCTTCAGCTGCTCCGAGCTCCCACCCGGCTGCCCCTCATTCCTCCATCCCCTCCTCCTCTCTCCTCCAGCGTAGAGAGCGGGGCGCGGCTGCCTGCGAGGCCGTGTGAGGAGCAGCGAGAGGCGGCTTGGAGAGCGCGCAGGGGTCGGTGGGACAGCTGGAGGTCCCGAACCACAGACACACACGCGAAGCTGCAGTTACAGTCACACAACGCGGACACACACTCCCGGAGCTCACACCAGCGCTCCCAGTGCTCCCAGTCTGCGGCTCCAGCTCACACGCGCACAAAAAGTTGAGAACAAAAGCTGCTCCAACTTTCTGCCTCCACCTCTGGATGAGACCACGCCCACACACCCGCAGCCGCAGTGTGAGTGGCTGAAGGAGCCTGCCATTCCAAAGGGGGCGGGGCTCAGCAAAGACAGACTGTGGAGGAATGTGGAGAGAACGTGTCTGCGCATGTCTGTTTTTGAAACCTGGAGACCGAATCCACCAAAAACTTCAAATTCCTTAAAAAAGCAGGGACGGATCTACACGATCTACACGGGCGGCAACGCGCCAGCTTTGTGGCGCTTAGCGCGAAGTGTAGTTAGTGTGTTGTGTAGTTTGTTGTGTAGTCATTGTTTCGTGTGACAATGAGAGTAATGAATGTGACAAAGCAGAAACTCTTGACTGTTGTGAAGGTTCATCCCTGTGCTGTTCTCCTGTGGCGGATGTTTGTGGGCATCTTATCGCGACACCTGATTGTTTTAGTTTAGTTTTAGTTGTATTTTAAATGGTTGCACAAAAACAGAAGATGCATTGGCTGCATGTTTAGATAAACAGCTGTATATAAGCTTATTTTTACCAAGATTTGTGCAGAAAATAATTTACTAAACGTGTTTTTACAAAACATATAACTGATAGTAGGATTTTATGTCTTTGTGTGATTTCAGACCAGTTGTGTTACTGCAGGATGTCAATAAAAAAACAACTGAAAATTCAGACACGTGAGTTTGATCCCGAGCAGGGCAGGGAGAAAGGATCAAATACAAATGTAAAATCAAAGGGAGTCCAATTATATGTTGGACCTCAGAGGGTTAATCCAACAAATCCTGACAAATTTCCCTTCAAATTTTGTTCATCACATTTTGTGTGACTTTTGTTTTCAAACAGAAAAATGTGAGACGTGTGTTTGTAAAGAACTGCCCCATGGCTGCATGTTTATTTATTATACAGGCGACACAGTAAATACAATGAAAACTCATTAAAAATCCTCATTAACTGAGATGTTTATTCATGTATAGACTGTATTTATATCAAATGTGTAAACCTGCTGCACTTGAATCACTTTAAACACATGTACCTGCACAGGTGTGTTTTAAAAGCTTTCATTTTGACACCCTGAGAAAATTTCTCTAGTTCAGCTCCTGAAAGAAAAAATACAAATTAAATAAAATATGAACAAAATGATCAAACCAGCTTTAATAAAAGTCTAAACAAATCATATTTCTGTGTTTTAATCTGTCTGTTGT